GCTTAGCTCAAAAACAAAATAGTAATACAAACATGACTATACACGTGCCTTGAAGATACTAGAACTCGAAAATACTGTTTCCGGACTAACTGGTGACCTATTCTGACTCTCTATGATCAAGTCGAAGATTTTTTATCCTATATGGTTTTTTATTAAATATTCTAATTAAATAAGAAGATAGTAGAGTTGTTCTTATTTAGTATAGACTATAATTTTTAAAGCCTACCACAGGCTTATAATAGTGATTGTCTGATATCTGTGGAATGCAAATTTCATGTTTCTTTTTTCTCTCTTTACTCCCTTTCTTTTTTATTTCTTGATTTGTTTTTTTTTATCATTTACTCTTATACCTCCTTTTGTTTTTCTTTTATTTGCTTAAATTTTTTTTTGTTTTTTGCTTCCCTACGAGAAGATATCATCAGATTGACGATATCCTATTGTAGGGCAGCAGTCAGACAAGGCGGTCTATCTCCGTTTGAAATAGTGTGGCAGGTCGTACTTAGGCTCTATAGGGGAACTGAGTAATGCTAAACTTAGGAAATTAGGTTAAATCTTTCGAAAAATGTATAGTTTTTAAAAAGTCTAATAAAGTATTAGTGTGACTGCTTAAGGAAAAAAAAAAAAAAATCATATAAATAGATATTCATTTTGAACTAAATAAGGTTCAGATTTTAATTCAAAAAAAAGATATAATTGTAATTCTTAGAGTTTTTATGAAAGATATTAATTGTCTTCTAGTATTTTTTTTCTCAGTAATATTCTAATAAAAGTTCTAATCAGAAGACTTAGTACACTTAGCAAGTAGATATAATGTTATCTTGTTTTCTATATAATAAGTTATTGTAAAACAAAAAAAAAAGTTTATATATATTATTTTCAAAAAAATCAAATCACTACTGCAGAAGTACTTGTAAAACTACAATCTGAAAATACTAAATTAGAAGATACTATTAATGTTGAAGACAACTCTAATTTTGAAGATACTACTAATTCTGATAATACTACTGATGCTAAAGATTTTGGAATTGTTATTTGACTAATTATTTCTGGTACTAGTTTTTTGTTTTGAATATTTTTTGAGAAAAGTCTTAAAAAATATAAAAAAAAAAAAGAGTTTAGGCTAATAAAAGATCAGCAAGATAAAATGCTGAAACTAGAAATATTATTCATTAGTGTTTTGAATATGAATTTTCTAGTGATCTGAAATTTAAGCATACTACTAAATGATCATATTATTCAAAAAAAACTTAATGTCAATAGTGATATAATGCTAGTTATTAAAAAACTGAGGGAAAAATTTATATTAATAAGCTTGTTAAAAATCATAATTATAAACTTATCTTTTATTAAAAAAAATTTGTACTATTTTTATAATACCTGTTACAAGATACTCTTAATAAAATAAAGTTTATAATACAAAAATATGAATATAATGCTTGTCAGCAAAGATACTATCTTATTAATAAGTTTCTTAGAATTTATATTTATTTTAAAGACCTTTATAATACAATACAATATTATAAAATACATACTAGTTCTAATATTAATTAGAATGCTACTCTGATATTTAAGTATTAAATTTTAAACCAATGTGAGGACTCTGACTAGAAAGTTAATATATATTTTGAAAGTACTAATACTTCTTTAGCTTGTTTTTTTTGATAGATACTAAGTTAATCTAGACTTTATAAATAGTTTTATGATATAATTATACATGATAATACTTGTAAGATCAATATTTATAAAATATTATTAAACATATTTGTAGATGTTAATTCATATTATAAAACAAGGATACTTGTACAAGCATTTGTTCAGGATGAAATACAAAGCACTTTTGAGTAGATTTTATAATTATTAAAAAATTTAAATAATCTCAAAAGAAAACTCAAAAAATTTTTAAATTTTTAAAGAATTGTTAATACTCTGAATTGCAGATCAGATTGCAT